GGCTGCACCCAGCTTCATGTCTTCCCAGGTATTTTCAACCGGAAAACACCAGGAAAATGTGTATTTTCTTATAAAATGTACTCAAGAGTCCTCCATTCACATTTCCTGGAAAAGAGGCCTCTRTTGCAGCAGCCTCCCGCGGCCGGAGAGGCCCCCGTGCGTCACCACCGGCGTTTTGGGCGGGTTTAGTCATCGGAGCAGGACTTGAGCGGAGCAGCGGGATGAACAATGCTTCCCGTCGGGGCTGACGACTCCCTGCAGGCTTCGTTCTGTCCCTCACTCCTAAGAAAACATGCAGAAATCTGCAACAGAAACGCGGATCCGGCTCGGTCGGGCTGCTGGCTGTGCCCATCGCTCTGCTTCGAAACTGGAAAGGAAAACTCATGGAAACTCATGCTGCAAACCGTGCCGTTCCTTTGGAAAAGCGGGACGCCATCTGCCAAATATCAGGCTGATTACAAACCATTAAAAACAATATTGTAGCAGAAACAACACAAATAGCTTTTGTTCAGGGAGGAACAATTTTGGAAACTTTGGGGAGGTTTTTTTTTTTTTGGGGGGGGTTTAATTTTTTTTTTTTTGAACATTTCACTTCTCAGCTCTTGTATTTTATCACTGCTCACAATATATCTTTTAGCAACCTGGAGCCTTTAGAAGTCTGGCCACAGAGTAAAAGTTCAGCCCAAAATGGGACGTATCGGATGTAATTTTTCTTAAAAGGAGCACACACCAAAGCCTTCTGAAAACCAAGCCCTTATTTCAAGGTATCACAAGTAGTCCTATTTGAATACAAAGCAAATATATTTTCCAAATAAAAGGAAAAATAAATAAAAAAGGGGGAAGAGAGCAAAAGAAGGCTAGTTACACAGCCAAATACAGCACAAGCTTGCTGGTTTTTTTTCTTGGCTTTTGCTTGTTTTTTTTGTTTGGTTGGTTGGTTTGGAATTTTGGATTTTTTTTTTCTCTAGAAGAAGCTGCATTTCCAAGATAAATACCCACTGTGGTCTGTCCGTGCACAAGATCTTGCATGATCTGAAGAGTCAGATGGAAAAGATTTGCAGCAACCAAAACAAAACAAACGTTGTGCAAGGGCATTAAAGCAGCAAACGGCCTTTCCTGGTCACCACGTCGGGATAAGGGCCAYGCCAGCCAAAAACCTGCCCAGGGCAGGAACCACGGGGCCACGGGAACCTATTTAGGGAGCTCAAGATACCTCTGCTCTCCACAGCCCGACTCCTCCGGCTCATAGCTGCATCCCAGCAAGCGCTCAGCGGGCAGGAGCCAATGCCAAGGAATTCCGAAGATGATCCAGAAACGCAATCTCGCTGGGAAATTCCTGCTCGCACCAAGCGGGGAGGAAAAAGGGCGCTGAGGTTCACCCTGAGCACAGCCTAAGGGAAAGCTGGAAGGAAAAGCACAGCTAACAAAAGTATTAGCTTTAACGATGACCTTGCTAGATGGAGGAAAAAAAAAAAAGCATTTCTAAAACTTTGCAATTTAGAAGGTACAGTTTAACTTTTAAATGAACATTTTAAGAGACACACAGAAGATTTAATGACTATCTTTGCTCTTCTGATGTGATGTAAGTATTTTAGAATCTGCTGCCACTTCAAGGGCACCAGTTGTATATAAGCTACTGGGAACAGATCTCCTTATGCTTTGGCTAATAAGGCTCAACTGCCCATGTTGAGAGAGAAGCCATAAAACCACCCAAAATTGGGTAAAAAACMCCCAAAAACTGGAAATATAGATCAAAAACATAGACTAGTAGGGCAGAATGAGGAAGCAAATACAGCATGCAGGCTATGGCACGTCCCTGGAACCGTGTGCTAGGACCTCACTGCAAGACAAGGTCTTAAGAAATTTATCTAAAACACTCAAAACAGCTAAATCTAGAAAAGTGAGGAAAGAGGCAGGCAGAGGTAAAACCTTCTCTTCTAGAAAGTTACTAAACCTGCATTAAAGCCCCCAGCAAGACCAAAGAAGTCTTAAAATTAATAGGGGCGTTGCATTTTGCTGTTTCTAGATGCAGGAACAGTTAAAGCACATTGAATTCCTCCTTCCCAGTCAATCCTTGCCACAGCTGCAACTGCTTAAGTTTTGAAACCGAAGCCATGGGTGACCAGCAATCTGGCAAACCCTGATTGCAAGCTGAAGAGACAGTCACATTTTTGTGTTTTATGAGGTTGGTCCCAAATATTTTAAATACCTAAGTGTATTTTGGTTTGACTTTAGCCTTTTTCCCTTTGAATCAGCTATTACTTTCTGATAGACTTCAGCTCCCTGTTCTTCACTCGATGTAAGCTTGGATGAACATCCCCTGTGTTTCCCAGGCGCTACGTCCTCCTGGCTCGTGTTATGGTGAAACTGCAGGAATATTGCACATTTTGCCTGAGGACTCCATGCACCCACACTGGTACAGAGTGGACATGCAGAGCTGCCACCTTCTTGGTGCTCAGCCTGTAAGAGATGCAGGAAAGGGCAAGGGAACAGTGAGAGGGACTCTGGTGACAGCAGCCCATGGGCAGCCAGCAGTTTGGCCTGGGTGGGCTCAGCRCTGCTCCGAGGACACCTTGTCTCCATTGGCACCCTGCTCCATAAGGCTCTGTCCCTTAGGAACTCGCACAATCCCGAATGGAGCTCCGCACTGCTCACCCGGGCGGCCCCGCTGGCTGCACACAGTGCGGGTCCCTCTGCCTCTCCTGGAAACATAATTTGCAGGCATTTCAGGCACCTACCAAAAATACCAAGTGAAAAACAAAACTGCATTTTAAACATGTGTCATCTCCAGCCTACATTCTTTTTGCAACATGAGAACTCATTTATTACCATCATTATCTAAGCCTGGTAGGCACGAAAGCTCCCTCCCAAACACACAAACCATTTAAGCGAAATAACCGGTCAGCTCACGCTACCACCAAAGACCCAAGTCAGACTTGACCAAGAACCACAAGCAGCTCCTTTGAATCGTTACTCAAACCTGTCTTTTCAGAGGTGCTTATCACAACAAGCATCACTGCATTTTTTTTCCCATGGAAACAGCTGCAGTTTTACCTCACTATTAGGCAGCAAGATACTGCTTGTAAACAGAACGACATTGAGAACCCAGGAATCCAAAGCTGGTGGTTATTTTTTTTTACTTGAAGAATGGCTGACAAACATTAAAAAATATATATTGTTACAGTTAATTCATTCCTTCTGGAACTGAATTGGACAGGCTTGTTCGAGGTCATGATATGAGAAGGACAGTCTGGCTTTTACAAAACTGATATTCAAGCTTTATCAACACACACAAAGGACAGGCTCTTATGCACATTGGTTACATTGCAACCTTAGATCCACCTTGGTAAACGTCTTTGGATGAAAGAAGCAACTCGGATTTTCAGAGGACAAAACCATAGCATCATTTAAAACATGAACAGCAAAGTTTAAAGACATCAGCAAACACAGTTTCTCTGTGGATATTCAAAATAGTTCTTGCATAAGTTACAATAATCACAAGCAGAGGTCTGCAACACCGAGGCTGGATTCCAGCAACTCGCACACTCATGACTAAGAGGCAGTTTTTGAATTTATTTGACTACTTGCCTAAGGCAGGGAGGCGGTAAGAAAAGTTAGGAGTGCAGAAGGCAGAGGCAAGGTAGATTAGTGCTAGAATTTCTTGTTAGACCAGGAAGCTAACAGGAAAGCAACAAGGAAAGAGGTGGTGTTTGTTCTTTCAACCTAAAAGAAATGCTAGCCAGAAGTTATCAGGATGTACTTTCTATATTGCACAGTTTTTAAATAACTAAAAAATTATAAAACCCTAAAAAAATCTGGATTTGTTACAGCTACATTTAAACATATTCCAACCTTAGTTACCCCATACACTTCAAATTGTTAAAAAAAATCCAACACTTCTCCCTATCAATAGCACACAGCATTTTAAGTTATCTCTTCCAACCCTCTCCCAACTAAKGAAATACACCATTTACCAAAGACAATGCTACTGCTTCTCCTCAGTAAATCACAGAATTATTGCTTTATTTTACTAGTGGCAAAGGCTAGGATCTACACTTTGAGAGAATTTAAGGCAAACTCACAAGACCAACACCTTAAGGGCATTTACGGTACACACTGCTATTCACTCACACACTCCAGGAGAAGTTATTTCAAGCATTAAAGTTATATCTTCTAAACACATAACCCAGAGATTTATTTTAGTTGCCTGGGATAAGTCATTCCCGAGCACCAACAATCAGAGGAAACAGGGAAGGGAAAAAAAATGACAAGAAATTCAAGGGTATCTTATCAAAACTTATTCTTGCTCCTCTAAAAAGATTTTGGAACCACTGCTCAGGTATTTGGAAAGCTGAATTATTTTTTTTTCCATCATAATATGCAAGTGGAATTATGATCCATCAGATAAACATAAAATACAACATATAAAAACACTAAAGACAAAATTTCAGCAACAAAAAAGTACCCTTAATACCATTAGACAAAACTGTTTTGCCTACAAGAACTGTAAATAGTTTTTTTCTTAGTAATTTATACCCCAGGAAGTTCATTACCAGCTCCTCATCTGCCAGTTTCCCTTCTTAATCCCATCTGGCTGCCACGCTGCAGYGAAAATAATATCAAGGGCACTTCTCTGCTCAGTCTCAATGGCTTGCAATCAAGTTTGCTATTGACACAGATTTGTCAACGGCTGCCAGGCCTCCAAGCCCATGGAGATGAAAGCTGGAAAAAAAAAAAAAAAAMMCCAGCAAGAACCAGCCTGCTGGAAAGCRTCTTCTTCATTAAACTAACCTTTCACTTGCACATGCTTCAGAAATTAACTGCTGGAATATGGAAATTCAAGGAGTGCAAGATGCAGTGGTCCAAAATTATTTGCATTCTTTTTAATTCTAGCCAGAGGAAAAAAAGAGAAAACATTAAACTACATTTTTTAAGATGATTAGTGTATACAGTTTTAAGATTATTTTTCATGAGATAGAAAAGATGACATTCTGTTAAGGAAAAAAGAAATACTTCAAGTTGAGAGCAGGTACAAACTATCTGGATTTTAGTAAGATTTGGTTAAGCCTAAGTTACTGATGATGTCTTAACAACAAGCAGAGCTCTACTGCCACACAGCAGGATACAGGGGTAGGACTCTCACTCCACACAACGCACCCTGTGTGGAAACTAACCCCGTCTGAAGCAGTCATTGCGACCTGCTACCTGTTATCTTGAGTTACTTGACTAAGTAGAGCTTTCTTGTAGTCTTCAGAATAGGGTAAGAATCTCTTGTTTGTGGTCTAAAAGCAGAGGTCTCCGTGCTGCCCCCAACGCCGGCGTGTGGACGTGACCGGCCAGCAGAAGCACAAGGTGCATTTCAGAAGGGACCTTCTGCTCCTCTTGAGTAAAGGCAGTGAGCTCATTACAGAAATATCACAGCAACCTAATTATGAAAAATTTCCATTTATTTAAGGTAGTTATCTATACTGGAGGTGACTCCTTCAATTTACAGCTAAGGTTTCAAAAAGATGAGAGAAACGCCTCGAAGTTGCTTCTGATTATTTCAAGGCAACTTGATTCCATGCTGGATCAGAGCGAGTTCATTCCTCTGAAGAGGAAGATCATTTTCCAAAGGAGATTTGGGGTATTCTTCAGCTTGTGTTTTAGCTCCTCTGGATCAGTTCTCCCTGCCACTTGTCTGTGCTCTAGCAGTAAACACCAACATCTTAGCAGCTACAGCAGGCACCCGGCATTTGAAAGAGCAGAAGACTCGTGTGCCAAACCAGTAACATTGCCCTGAATACTCTCTTATCAATCACAACGGGGCTGAAAACACTCATGCTCTCCTACAGTTTCACTATCATTTTTTTTTCATTATGAGTTAACTTCTGGTTAAAGAGAAAACGCACCGAGGAGCAGCTCAGGAGTGCAGGCTATTTCTATTGACAGGCAGTTTCTGCTGCCTTCCTGCCCATGGTAATTTGTCTCAAATACATTCAAAAAGGAAACACTCAGAAGCTTGTAAAGAGAAATCAAAAATACTCTTTCCTCAAATACGCAAAGGCAGCTGGAAATTACTTTGTCAATACTAAGCATTTTACACGGCACCTCTGATCTTTCACATCTACGGCAAGTAGATTAAGAAGCCTGCTACACCATGAATAATGTTATATTCTTCTGCTGCTCTTCTGACTTCAAGTCAAAACACAGAAATCAAGTCATCAAATTGTATTTTTTCTCCTCCAAACCGGAAACACGGAGCTCTGAATTTAACTCATAATGAAGTTGGCTTGAAAATTCTGAAGATCATGGAGAAAAAAGGCAGAACAGACTAATACAAGTATTTTGCAAAACATATCTTCATTCTAAAGGGAGAATCCTTCTTGCTAATGTTTAACACTAGCAGTTGCTACTTAGTTTTGAAGATAATCAACATATTCCATCTTGGTCCCAGGAAGTTACAAAATGAAGGGTAGTCTCCAGTAAGAGATAGGGGTGAAGGAAGATTGGATTATTTTTGAGCACTTACTGTCACAGCAGAAGAACCAGGTCATTTATAGCAGTTTCTGTCACATAAGAAGTCTATAGAAGGTCCCATAACTGAAGGAATTTTCCCCTCAGCGCTTCATCAGAGCACAACTGGGCAGATTTATACTGAGAAACTTTTCTGAATGCTTTAAAAGCAAACAGGTTAGTGCATTTTCCCTCCTAACGTTCCCTAATGCAACAAGTACACTGCTTTATATTCTTTAAAACAACTACAGAACAAGTCATTCGAAAAGCCACGCAAATTATTTCTTGGCACTTCTCTGCACGCAGGCAGCAGAAGTTTCAGCCATTTGCAACAGCATGTTTTAGTTCTGGATACCTGATGCCAAAGATATTTTCAGCATATCTTTTTTTTTTCTGAATTAGTGAAATGCATCAATGCTACCATGACAGGAGTCACTCCTCTCTTCAAGCTGAAGGATTTGATACCAACTCCTTTTGAGTTAGTGACTCACTAACAGTAATCCTGCATGCAAATAAAACTAAGATTTATCCATTGTAGCAGCAGGGTTCACTGGGCGCTGTCTTACAGCATTCGTTGAGGAGCTTCTGTTGGACACCTCTTTATCCTCTGTTTCATCATCTGAAATATCTTCCTCATCTGCTTCTTGCTCTTCATCCAGCTTTTTCAATAGCTGAGCTGACTCTGGGGCCAGTTTTTCTTAAGGGGAAAAGAAAACAAGCATTAACACAAATAAAAAAGTTTTCCTGTGAGATATACTTAAAGAAAAAAAAAAAAAAGAAAGAAAATCACAGACCAGATCAGAATTTGTACAAACTTAAGTCAGGTAATATTTTCATATAACAGTCACTTAAAATATTGCCCAAGCAGAAACTTCTACACTAGATTGCTTATCCTGTCAACCTGATGACACAATTCACATATTAATTTTTATTATACAGATTCATCAAAAGTGTTCACTGAATTACAAATATACATTGAACTTACTTGAATGAGGATACTGTGGTTGTCTGTGCCTTTTGGATGGACAGAGACAGTCTGCTAAGAACACCATGAGCTGAAACCGAAGACAGACAGATTTAAACCTCTAAATATTCTGTATATCAGGCTAACATAGTAGTCACTCGATAACCTATTTCAAGGGGGTTACTTACAAGTCCCAGTACCAGTCCTGAGAAGAGAGTTGCCAGTGCAAAAATGGCATATGAACCCCAAACTGGTATTCCAACATTTTCTGTCAAATAATTATGGCAATGCTAGAATAAAAGACATGAGAATCATTTCACGAATAGCAAAATACCATGCCTGTAACAGTAGAACAAAGTTCAAATCTAAGCACATACCCTGATCCACATGGACAGCTGAAACAAAGCAGACATACTGCTCATCCTGAAACAAAGCAGAAAAGAATAAATGAAAATGTCTTTTTTAACACAGTCACAAACCTGTTGCAAGTTGCCTGGCTAGTCATTATTTACATTCACAGCAAAGAACTTTCCACTCTTGCCAGGTTTCCCTTCTAACCACTTTGCTTTTTTAATGTTGTTATGGCTCTTACTCAGTAAATACGCACTTCCTATGAAGCAGCCTTTAGTGTCCTTTTATCGTGCAGTATTTCAAACGGACAATTGTCTACCCCAAAGTTTCTTCCTGCTGACATACAAGTTTCAGTGACTTCTATGTTCTAAATTATATTTGTAACAACAGTCTATGAGAAGCTGCTGGAACTGTTTAAGAAATTACGACTTAAGCAGCTGGATGTTATATTTAAAATAGAATGATTCCTTGTTTTTCACATAGGCAAACAAAACTGGGCTAACTGCCATATAGTCTGCCAGTTTTGATATTTCACTGCAGCAAAGCTTCAGAATTAAGTGTTCACTTTTTTCCTAAAGAAAATAATGTGAAATATTAAATTAGGTCTGCCACGGTGGCAGACAGTTGTGAAATATTAGGTTAGGTCAGCCACAGTGGCAGGCCGTTGTGAACACAGGCATGCAAAATGTTTCACTGAGCACGGACATGGGTACTGTACACTTGCAATAGAAAACTTATTAATCTTAAAATTAGTAGTCCTGCACATGCATTCCTTCCTTCTAAAACATTCCAATGTTTTAGAAGTCCAATCACGCAGAGTCGAGCAAGATTCAGATAGTGTCCAAAGTACCCAAGGCAGCAATGCTGAGCTGCCCAGGGCAGCCACGGAAAACGGGCAGTTTCAGTCCAGAGCAAGATTTCTTAAACTGAACACCTGAAGGGCAGCCTGCTGCAGCTCACTATGATAATGCCTCTGAGCTGGGAAATCCAGCAGTGAACAACTGGCTTCACTTCCTTCAAGCAGTGGTGTCCCTGGTGCGTGTCACCACTCACAGCCACTGAACTCCTGGAATTGCTTCTTTCTCCCCACTCCACAGCACATGCAGCAGTTACTAAAAGTACTTCACAGCTCTCAAATCAAAGGATATTCCAGACTGCGTCTTCTCAGACTACAGGGTATCACCACATCACTACCCCTGACCTTCAGCCCCTCTCTATTGCTTTTAACTTTACTGCAGACAGCAGGGCTTTCTTAAACAACCGCCCCTAACACACAACCACGTTGCTACGTTATTTTCAAGTTTTTATTTGCTAACTTCCTAAAACTGAGTTGGGCAAAGCAGCTCGCTGCTTTGATCAAAACAAGAACTTCAAGTATCAGCAAGTTACAACAGCTTAATAAAATAAAACCTTGAGCTACATTTCTGAAACTTAGAGCAAATCTTGCTCAGGAGCCCCTGGCTRATTTGGCATGCACCATCCTCCCCCAGCTGAGGAAGGAGCTGCTGCCCGAGCTGATAAGGAGCTCGGACCGATACCCAGGCCGCTTCCTGCGGCGGCACATGAAGGACGTGTCTGGGCACGAGCTCCGAGTACGTGCGCTCGGTCACAGATTTTTATAAGAACCAGACTGGGACTTACAGCAAAGAGGAAGGGCCGAACCACGATGAAACAGGTTCAATGGACTTCCATTCCTGATCACTGATGAAATTTATGAAATCAGTTTTCGTTCTGGCACCCTGGTATCTCCTAAACTCTCCATCTTTACAACTGCAAAACGAAAAAGACTTCTTTTAGTCAAATCATGTAAAATTTGCTTCCATTCACAAACTTATTTCCTCCCTTCATTTTGCCTATTCCTTTTATATTTTACTTTGCTYTAGACATTACAGTTTCTAGAAAGTTTTCTGAGCATCTTGACTTCCAGTACAACCCCATGCATCTTTGCTAGCTTCAGGTTGTCATCTCGTGGAAAGATAGTGATCACCTTAATACAGTTGCCACACAACAGCCTACAGAGAAGACGTTGCAAAACAGAAACACCCATAAAGGGATGAAATAAATGACGCCTGAAGGGGAAAGAAATTGTAAAGTGAGATTAGGTAAGAAAATGAGAAACTGTTCTCCCTGTGTTAAAGTTATKAACATTCTCACAGAGCTTGATAAATCTCACTTACTTGTACCGAAAAAGGAAAGTGAAATTTTCTCTCTGAGAAAGACTAGCACTCTCAGAACTTACTGATATATGGTAGGAAGCGCCGTTATGATAAATCGCCCACTTAATCCTGTAAGAAAACAGATATTTTCAGAATAGAACTGCACTCTGATATAAGAAAAATAATTCTTTTTCTTATGCATCTTCAAGTTCCTAAGAACAGTTGCTTCCATGTATCTATCTTTAATTCTGTTCACACACAAACTTGTGCATCTACAAGGTAGAGCACAGTCCAAAAGCAGTGTCCCAGGACAGGGGCAGACAAAATAACTCTGTGGAAAGAGATGTCTATGGCTAACAACCATTTAACTTGACTGTTTTGACCTTAACTCTTCTTAACTCTTTCTCTGAAGAGGCTCTCTTCTTCTACACGCTCTGTAACCTCCAGTGCTTGTAGACAATAAGCCAGGTAAAACAAATTATAGAAGCTCTAATGTAACTTTGCAAAGAAGCACTAACTTCAGGGTTATTTCTACAAGCTGGGAGAAGGTGTGGGCTGTTTTGCTTTGTTTTTGCCCTCAAATCCCACACAAACAGGAGGGAAACCACCAGCAGGCAGGTCCAGCCCTGACAGACCAGACTCCTTGTGTTCGCTACCCATCAACTAAGGGAGATGCTGTTATAAGGCAGGACCAGGCAATCACAACCAGATTCTCCTTCTGGCTTAGAAGACCAAACACCTCCTTACAGTCCTCCAACCCCCTTGGAAACCTCTATGTATGAAAACAGGTCACTTAGCCCACACAGAGCAACCTGCCCTCACCAGAGCTCATCTATTATTTCCAGATCAAGAAAATAAGCAGCGAATACCTTCAAAGAACGMTATTTTAGAAGCTTCGCCTAAGCAAAGGGGCGAGGGACGTTATGAAGGTGCCCAGCGGCTCTCCTCACCTGGCTGCTCGGTCACGTCCACCTTGGCGATGTTCACCTCAAGATCCTCTCCCCACTCGGCGAACTTCTCCCACTCGGGCTGCAGGTTCTGGCAGGCGGGGCACCAGGGCGCGTAGCTGGAGGCACAAGCGGGATGTCACCCAAGGGAGGCGCCGCGCCCCCCCCCCACCCCCCATGCACCCACTCACAACTCCACCATCCACTCGCCCTCCAGCAGCGCCCGCCACGTGCCGTCCGTGAGCGTCTGCACTTGGCTGCGCCTGCCGAGCGCCGGCGGCAGCGCCGCGCCGGCCCACAGCGCCAGCGCCACGCACAGCGCGGCGCGCGGCCGCCCGCCCGCCGCCATCTTGCCGCGCCGCGCTGCGCACGCGCGCAGGGAGCCGGGCGCCCCCACCCGCTGCGCGTGCGCGGAGCGCGGGGCGGGCTCAGGGTGCGCCGCAGCCAATAGAACGTCGAGGAACGGGGAGGCGGGAGCGTCGATCAACCTCAATCTCGGCCAATGAGGGGCGCGGGGCCCCGCCCCCCAGCGCCTCGCCGGCCCCGCCCTAACGGTTCCGTGAGGGGAAGGGAGGCGACGGCGCTCGGGGAGCCGCTTTGGGGCCTGTGAGCCGGCCAGCGCGGCCACGACACCCGCCCCAGCGCCAGAGACTGCCCCRAGCGCGGCAGGGAGCTGCTGCTGAGGTGGTGAGGGACTGGGGCTCTGCTAAGGGAGCTGGGGCTGTTCCCCCTCGAGAAGGTGTGGGGGGGGTTGTCTGTCAGTGTGTGAGGCAGCTGAAGGGAGAGTGTTGAGAGAATGGGATCGGGCTCTTCCCAGTGGTGGCCAGCAATAGAATAAGAGGAACAGGCGCAACCTGAAGCATGGGATGCTTTGTCCAAACGTGTGGAGGAAAAAATATATATGTGTATATCAAACCATCACTGTGAGCACTGGAAGAGATTGCCCAGAGAGCCTGTGGAGTCCCCTTACCTGGAGATATTCAAAGTCATGAGGACACAGTCCTTGGAAACCTGCTCTGCTTGAGCAGGGCATTGCACAGGATGATCTSCAGAGGTCCCTGCCATCCTCAGCAATGGCTCTTCCCCCTGCTGCAGCTCAGAGGAGGAAGGTTTCTCCTTGGAGAGCACGGAGGGTCCCAGGTCCTCGGGCTGCCTGACCTCCCTGTGCAGTATTTTGCCTCTGCCCCAGCCCTGCTTCCCACTGTGGCAGAAGTAAGTAGCTTTTRAGCAGAAGTCAAAGAAGAGGTCACAGTTAATAAGCACATAAATTCCATGCCATTTTCCTGCAGCCTGTTGAGAGCTTAATATTTTAGAGGCAAGATGCACCTACTTCCTCTACTGCCAAGGCTCCTCCAGCCCTTGATCAGGAGAGGCTGTGAGGGTACGAGTCACCTTCCTTTGTGGAACATGTATTTTGCCTTCCAAGGGGACCTTTGCCAGAATTTAACATCCCACAGTTCAAGGCTTTGCCAGGTGAAGAGATCCGTTCTGCGGTAGCCATTAGAGCACTGCAGCAAAATTAATATTTTTTTACTTTCAATTTTGACAACGTTTCTATAGCACAATGTGTATGTTCCTTTTAAATGAGAACACATGCATTACTGAGGGTTTGCTGAAGCTTGTTGCTCATAGACTCAGGGCTCATCAGTAATGCGTTGCATATACAGCACAGCTCGCTTCCGTTTTATTTTAGTAATAATTGGATTCTTGAAATTTCCTTATTGATACTCCAAGAATATCTTGGTAATGAGATGCTAAGAGTTGTCCTYAGTACGCATCCTGGTAATTTAAGCTGCATTCAGGAGCGAGTGATCCCACTTTTTAATGGTGCTGAAGAAGAGGACAATTAAATGTTCTTTTCCTTAGTGCTGCCCAGATAGATGCAGATGCAACTTGCTAGCCTGAACGAGGAGGCTTGTGGATGATGCTGATCCAATCCATGTGCAGGTTGAAGAAAGAGTGAAGATACATGACAGAAATAGCAGTAAGGACCAAGCCCTTGCTGCACAGTTTGTAGGTGGCACCACAAGAGAGCTCCCTGGGACCAAGTCCCACCTCCAAAAGAAAATCTAGAACCATGAGATAGCAAATTGTGTCATTTAATGTTCCCACTTTCAAGGGGGAAGGAGCYGGTGTATATTCACTGTAATTATAAGTACTAAGCAGATGTCCCTGCTGGAGCAGGGGGGCTGGACTAGATGATCTCTAGGGGTCCCTTMCAACCTCAACCATTCTGTGATTCTGTGCATAAAGACCATTTCAAAGGCACAGCAAGCTCCTTATGGGAACAGCTCAAAGGCTCCCAAAAGAAGCACACCTCCTTCCCCTTGTTATCAGTTAAGAGTAGTAGCTACTGTGAATTACTTTTTTTTAATCTCCATTGTTATTACATTGACATATTCTTGTTTCCTTGGAAAGTTTTGAGGCTTTTGAGAACAAGAAGACCTTGACCATATCTTTTATGCACTCATCCTCCCGCCTCTTCAGCTCAGCACTCCCAGCTGTAGGGAGAAATGTCTGCCATGTCTTTCGAGGTTCAGAGCAGAATAAGGAGATTTAACAACCATCCAAACATGAAGTGGCTCCAAGAGTCTGATCTTTAGAAACCTGATATGTCTCCCTACCGAGTCCTCCTTTAGGCAAATCCAGGTAACCATCCACATTCTTTGGGAAAGCTCCAAACGCTTCTGCAAAAGGCAGAACCTTTAATCCCATCCTACGGTGGGATTAAGAGCTGGTTGATGGAAATCATCAGATGCAAATCCCTGTGTGCCTGAATCTCAACCACAGAGCTGAGCTGGAGGTGGGGTGAGCTCCCCACTGTGGTGAGGGAGTGGGTGGTGATTTTTTTCATTCCCTTTTTTCAGCTCTGCCACACAGTGGCAGGATTGAGGCTTTTTTTACCCCTGCAACGGAGAGAAGGAAAAATCACGCTCTCTCATAGAAAAATGACCCGCATTTCTTAAATGGACATATTGTCATATTTCAAGATATTTATGAATAAGATTTTTTTTTCTTTAATACTCTCACTCTTGTTCTTAGCTTGTTTTTTTAAGGAGTTTAGGTAAATGGAATTGTGAGATTATGGGGTCTGCCAGCAATCCTCCAACACACACGGAGGCACAATAACTTCTCATAATTTGGGCCACTTTCAGCAAAGCTGGGCTTCCAGAAAAAGCCAATCTCTGTACGTTTCATGAAAAGACCTGCCAGCTACTTGTGCACTACTGCCCTGCAGAAAGAGACTGAAGTGCAAACTCAGGTATATTATTAACCACAGAGGAGTGATGAGTATTGTCACTGCAGGGAAAGCTTCAGTCAGCAAGAACACTGGGCAGACGAGAGATTTAACCATAAGACATCGATACATTCAGCTGCCCACAAACCTGTTTGTTTTTAATTCTGAATGAAAGACGCTGAAGTGAGAAAAGCCTGGGCAATACAAAAATCATCCCTTTTGATGTCATCTGTGGCTTAGCAGAACAGATCTCACAGAGCCAAGTGGGAGGAAAACTACTTAGTTTCTTTTTTTTTTTTCCAGCTAATGTGAAAAAAAAGACCCCAGTGCACAACTGTTTCAACATTTCTCCAGAGTTAAAGCCACAGAAATGTTCACATTTTCAAAATTCAACCTGTTCTGTAGGTGGCCAAAAATAGAAGAAAGAAGAAAACCTACCCCTTTTCACCCACTCTTTTTTTTTTTTTTTTTTTTTTTTTTTCTTTCAGCATGGTAATTCATCTCCATTGGAAGTGGGAACAGACTAAAGCAGCCCTGATTTTCCTTGCCTTCTTTCCCTTTTTCCCCCTAAGCAGACCCCATTTGCAGAGCTGGTGCTGATGAGATGCCAAGCACAGAGCTTTCCTGCCCGTAACCACCCGTGACAGCTGATGTGAGGTCACTGTCCTAGAGACCAAGGTGAAATCAGCCCAAGCCAAAAGGCCCAAGCCCCACACTGTGTTTCGGCCCACTGCAGGCACATGAACTGCTTCAGCCTGCCTGATTTATTTGGCTCTTTTCTAGGTTTCCTTATGGGAAAGTTGGCATTTTTAATCTTAACGCAGAATGGTTTTCTGGGCTTCAGCATTAGACAAATTAAAGTCAAGAGCTAATTGCTTTGCGTGGTTCCGAATTTCATGCCAGGAAGACAGTCTATGCATCAGTGCTTCCACCTAAGGAAAAGTCACCCGCACCAGAGAAAATGATTCAGCCCTACCTGCCTAAAGGGAAGAGCACAGAGGATGCCAGCATCTTCCCAGCAGCTAGATTGGGCTCAGAACCTATGAAAATGGTTTTCACAGCCTAGTCCTTCTGCTCCCCAACATCTCAGCTGCTCCCACACAGCCTTACAGTCTAGAAGACTATTTTAGGGGTTTAGTTCTTRAGAGGTTCTGCTACACATCAGGCAGATTTTTACCGCATCAGCTTCTGCATTACAGCTTCCTTATTATGCAATTAATTCCTGACAGCGTTTGAGACAGCTGGGGAGAACGCCAYGCGTAGCAAGGTTTGTGGCATGGCACTTTTGAAAACTTCTTAGAAAACCTCACAAAGGCTGCAGCCCTCGCAGGCACTGGCCATCAACCTTCATGTGCTGAGAARCTGCACAAACTGCTAGTTGTTCAGTAATTAAGTCTCTCTCTAGATTCGTAATTGTAAGTCTTGCCTCTCCTAGTCACTGTTTGCTCATTAGGTAGCTGTTTTCTCAATGCAAAATCATTACCTCTGATGGGATCACAAAATCACTTTAAAGTCTGTGGAGATGATTAGGAAAAGGGTGTTTTTGTGCGATAGTTGCCATGGGAACTAAAGTGGACAAATCTTTATAAAGCAAAAGTCAAACAGATTGCATTTCAGACAATTAATAGTCTCACTTGTTTATTCGTTTACTTTAACTCTTTCCTGCATCGTACTCTTGTTTCCATCCTTCACAAATTGCATTTGTCCCCCATAGGAAGTGCAGCGAAGGGAGCTGCATTGGTTGCACCATTTCCAGTTGGCTTTTAGTGCACAGTCCACACCAAAGGGCCATGCCATAGCACCCTAGATGCCTCTTCTTCCTCCTCATCAATGTACCTGTCTTCAAAATAAAAATCGCATAGCTATTTGKCCTGGAATACTTCAGATTGCAAGATTTCAGCTCAGGAAAATATTAAGAGACTGAAAGCAGGAAACTGCAGTGCAGAATACTAGGCAGCCTGAAATATGTGTGTTGCTACCTCCTCTGCTGGCAACATTTTGCTGCAAAATCAGTCATATGCAGAAACCATGGCTGAGAATATAAAATAAAGCCTGCACTTGCAAAGATAGGCCAGCTACTGCCATGCATACACAAAATCCTGCCCTCAAGT